CAGAGAGACAGAGAGACAGAGAGAGAACAGGAAGTCTGTGCTCCCCATGACATTTCTCTTGCATCAGGGCTCTACCTTCTTCTAAAGGTTCCATCATAACTTGGGGACCAGTTGTTCAAACACATGGACTGTAGGGAATATTTTACATTCAAACCACACAACAGTAACATCTCTGATTCTGATGACAAATGCCAATTTGAGTTTGCAAAGTACACAGACGTTGCCAGTTCTTCTTGCCATCTGGCCTTTGGAGTCTCAGCTCAGTACATCTGTGTGTGTTCCTTGTGATAGTGTGGGGGTTTGTTTTGTTGTTTCCCACAACAAGCTTCCTCTTTGTCTTCTGAGGCATCCTTTGGGAACATTTCTTTTCAGCAGCATTGCCTTCAGCTCTGAAATGTCTTTTTCTACTAAGAGTTTCTAGCACAACACAAACGTCTTTTTCTTCTCCTTGGTGCTCCCATGGCGATAGCCAGAAAGGAGCAGCACTTCATCTCTTCAGGCCTCACAGTGGTACCCATTCTTACTCTGGAAGCTGAGGCAAGCACATTATCAGGTGAAGGCCAGCATAAGCAACAGCAAGACAGCAAGCCCTGCTGCTTCTGCCTTCCAAGGGCTGGGCTGAAAGTGGATGCCACCATGCCCAACAAACCCCCATCTCAAAAACAGTAGTCACGGTGGACCTAGGTCAGCAAGCCTGAGAGGCTAACTCTCTGAGACAATGCAGTAGAAAAACAAGTTCAAGGCCAGCCTGGCAGCTTCATAAGATCTTGTCTGTAAAACTTTTAAAGGAGGGCTGGGATAGAGGTTTATTGAGAAGCTACTTGCCTAGGATGTGTAAGGCTCTAGGCAGTGGTTCTCAACTTTCCTGGTGCAGTGACTTTTAACACAGTGTCTCATGTCGTTGTGACCCCCACAACCATAAAATTATTTTGTTGCTATATCATGACTGTATTTTTGCTACTGTTTGGAATTATAAGGTATCTAATGTGCAGGATATCTGATATGCGATCCCGAAAAGGGGTGTGGCCTATAGGTTGAGAAATGCTATCCTAGGTTCAATACCCAGTGCCTCTAAAGTGAGAATGATGATAAGTAATGCCTACATTGTATGTTTATCGAGAGGATTACTTTTCTATAGAATGTGCTCAGCGTAGTGGTTGACCTTTATGAAGGATCAGACGGATCTGCTGCTATTTTATTGTTTTATGAAAATTGATATCTTTGCTACTCTTCTAGTTTGCTTTCCATTGCTATGATAAACACTGTGACCAAAGTCAACTGGGAGGAGAAAAGGTTTTATTCCATCTTACTGCTTGTAGGCCATCTTCCAGGGAAGTCAGGACAGGAACTCAGATCAGAAACTTGGAGGCAGGAACTGAAGCAGAGGCCATGGGGGAGTGCTGCTTACTGGCTTGCTCATGGCTTGCTCAGCCTGCTTTCTTACAGAACTAAGGACCATCTGTCCAGGAGTGGCACTACCCACAGTGGGCATAAATCATTAATCAAAAAACAAACAAACAAAACAGCCCCTACATGCCCATAGGCCAGTGTAATGGAGACATTTTCTTAACTGAGGTTCCCTCTTCTCAGGTGATCTTAACTTGTATCAAGTTGACAAGAACAAAAACAAAACAGTGTAGTTGCTATTTCGCTAAGAACCAGTTTTCAAGAACTTGCTATAGGCACTACAGTTTGTGCCTGTCTGTCTGGTCTGTTCTGGGATGGGGTCTCACTCATACTGACTTGGAATACTGTATCCTCAAACTCATGGGTTTCTTCCTGCCTTGGCTCCAAAATACTAGTTCATTATCCCTTACATATTAAGGTTTGATTTCCTCTGGCTTCTGCAGACCCATGGACTTAACCACCCTGAAGAGGAATCTGTCTAAGGGACGCATTCACACCATGGCTGAATTCCAGCGGGATCTGATGCTGATGTTCCAAAATGCTGTGATGTACAACGACTCTGATCATCACATATACCACATGGCTGTGGAGATGCAGCGGGAAGTCTTGGAGCAGATTCAGGTGCTGTATAACACAGGCTACTACAAGACAGGGAACTGTGCTTTCTGGAATGGGATTCCTGGGACCTGTGCGAATAAAGATGGTGTGGAGGGGACCTTGTGTCGAGTTTATCTTCAGAGGTGACTGAAGGGCCTGTAGGACTGGTGACTGGGAAGCTCCTTGTCTTAATGGTCCAGATTTAACACACAGTGGGATGAGGTTGTCTGGGAAGGCCAGCAGCAAGATGGAGGGAAGTGACCAAGTAATGGGTACTTCTACTCTCAGAGGCCCAAGTTGTAAGGCCAAAGCAAGTCAGGTGCTAGACTCACTGCCCATGTCTCATTTGTTGCAACTGTTGACACTAATGTACATAATGTACATAAAGGTGTGGTTTTTACCTTGTTTGCCTATAAAATAAGTAAAATTGCATCTACTTCCTCTGACCCTAAAGTCCATGGTTTCCTGTCTGCGCGTTGCTCCTGTAGGTGCTGAGTACATGGCTGGATAAAAGGAAGGACTTGAGTAGTCTGGAATGAGTGCCAGTTAATCCAGCGGATGAAGGAAGCGGGCTTTGTTAGCCTGGAACTACAAGTCTGATTCTTCCTCAAGTTACAGCTCTGCTTAGGACTGACCAGAGAAGATGTGAAGACTTACTCTCTCTCCATTACCTTTCCGAATAAGGATGATAATGCCTTACTTACTAAGATGTCAATGGTGCTTGCAGATGTAATATTTTTTAAAGGGTGGGGTAGGGTACCAAGATCTGGATTTATGATGTAAATATTGCCCATATTTTTGTTGCATAGACTTAGAAGTAATTTGATTGAACCTTTTGTTTCTCTATAAATAAATATTTTTGCAGACAAAAGGTTTTGTTTGGTTTTTGAGGTAGTGTATCAAAACCCAGGCTTTCCTGGAAATCCCCCTTGCATCCAGCCTCTGCCTCCAATGGAGTGCTGGGATTAGAGACCTTGCAAAGGCGACTTCAAAATGATTAAAGAAGCTGGAACTAGAGGGGACAGCATCATGTGGTAAAGCACAGAAGGTACTTGCTGGGGATGTCGCTCAGTGATTATTGCTTGCCTAGGTTTGATTCCAAGCACCACCACCAACAACAACAACCCCCCCCCTCAAAAAAAATGAAAAGAAAAAAGAAAGAAAGAAAAAGAAAAGGAAGGAAAGAAAAAGTAAATAAACTTGACGATACTCTTTCATATAATGTCCAGGAGGAACTGAGTGGACCAAGAGAGGTATCTGATTTATCTCATTTGCAGTGCGTGGATAAGGCACGCACACTTCAAGCAGGTACCACGAAGAAAGGAGATCAGTTAGAGAAGGGCTGGCGCTAAGACTCAAAGGGTAAAGAGGTCCACTTGAGTTCCATCCCTGGAAACCACCGAACACACACACACACACACACACACACACACACACACACACCACAATAAAAGTTGTTTTTAAAATTAGGACGGAAAACGTTAGAAATATGTGTAGTATTGTAAGACTCAAAGAGAATAAAACGTGCACGGTTAATTGTTGCCCTAGGATAAAACCAAACTAGAGCCTGCCGGGCCATGGTGGCGCACGCCTTTAATCCCAGCACTTGGGAGGCAGAAGCAGGCGGATTTCTGAGTTCGAGGCCAGCATGGTCTACAGAGTGAGTTCCAGGACAGCCAGGGCTACACAGAGAAAGCCTGTCTCGAAAACAAACAAAACAAACAAAACAAAAACAAAAAAAACAACCAAACAAAGAAACAAACAAAAAAACAAACTAGAGCTAAAAACAAACAAATAAAAAAAAAAACGCGGCTGGGATTGACCCTCTGCAGCCACCGTTAGGAAATTCCCCCCCCCCCCGTCTCTTAGCAACGGGCTTTGACAACACCTGAACCGAGGTGAGTGCAGCTTGGGAGGGTGGGGCAGGTCCTGCGTGGAGATTTCCCGAGGGCTTGGGGACCCTGCTTTCCTGTCGTGATTAAGCCTGGACAAAGTGGTCCCTATGGGGTGGGGACCCTTCGCTAGAGCAGCCGGCTAGGGGCCTTCCCCTACCCCTGGAGAGCGACACTGATGTCATTCATCCTCCAGCCTCAGTCAAGCGGCTCGGGCTCCCTTTGAGTGCAGTACAATCTTGCAAAACTGCGTGTAGAAAAACATAGCAGTTTCCATTTTTATAAATTAATCAAATCTAGCACCAAATTTTGCCACAGGCTGATTTTTGGACGGGGACTCGTGTCGTTGCTGTGGATAGCTGGTCAGGAGATTTGTAAATTGTACCAGGAAACGCCAGAATGAAGGTATCAATGCCCCTGCCTCAGATTTATGTAGAAAAAACCCTAGCCCTTATCAAGCCAGATGTTGTTGACAAAGAAGAGGAGATACACGATATTATTCTGAGATCTGGATTCACCATTATTCAGGTAACTTCTGGCGTGTCTTTTATTAGTTTTCATTATACTTATATAAATGTAGACACCTGTTTAGATCCTTAGTAACATTAAATTTACATTTCTTTTCTTTTCTTTTTTTTTTTTGGTTTTTCGAGACAGGGTTTCTCTGTGTAGCCCTGGCTGTCCTGGAACTCACTCTGTAGACCAGGCTGGCCTCGAACTCAGAAATCTGCCTGCCTCTGCCTCCCAAGTGCTGGGATTAAAGGCTTGCGCCACCACTGTCCTAAGTTTATATTTCTAAATATAAAGGTTATATATAAACGGGGCATGTAAGCACGCGTGCCTTGCCTTGGTGGAGGCAGGTCAGCTATGTAGTGACTTCTGAGTTCAGCCTGGGCTCTGGGAGACCTGTCTCAAAAACAAGTTACATGTAACAGAAAAGTCTTTCACACTTCAAAGGACATAGAATAAGACATCAAAGAAGCCAACTGCCTTTTCCTTCCCTTAACTTTCCCAGGTCAGCTCTGGGGAGAGGCAATGGCTTAACCACATTCTTTCTTCTGGGTGTTTCTAACATTCTGGATCATTAAATCAGAATCTACTTATCCCTTCTAAGTTATGTGCAATGTTCTTGTGCATACTTTGTTTCCCAATGTCAGTAGGTTTAGTTTTTGTTTTGCTTGCTCTTTCTTCCCTCCCTCCCTCCCTTCCTCCCTTCCTCCCTCCCTCCCTGCCTCCCTCTCTCTTTTTCTTTCTGTCTGTCTTTCTTTCTGCCAAGAAAGGGTTTTTTTTGTATAGCCCTGCCTGGCTTGGAACTCAGTAGAATCAGGCTGGCCTGAAACTCATAAAGATCCACCAACTCTTCCTCCCAAGTGCTGGGATTAAAGATGCGCACCACCACACCCAGCAAACATTTAGTGTTTTAAGACCAATATTTGTTCTGTAGTTGGAGAACAGGGTCAAAGAAGCCAGGACCTCCAGAGGGCAGTGAGAGATCTGCTTGGACTCAACAGTGAGCCCCAGATCATCCTGGGACACAAGGATGCAGGCTTTGGAAGTAGTGACATAGGCCTGTGATCCCAGCCCTAGATAGAGTAAGACTGGAGGATCTTGAGTTCCCAGCTATCTTAGGCTTCACAGAGTTCGTAACTGTCCTCTAGTCGACAAGGTCTCCAACTAAAAGACAAGTGTACAAATAGATGAAATAGAACTTTTATAATATTTTGTAATATTTTGTTTGACTTTTATTTGAACTACAATTCTAAGAGAATAAAACATTATTTTTATTCTCTTAAATGTATATATAACTGAGTGTGGTGTTTTTAATCCTAGCACTGAAGAAGCAGAGACATGTGTTTCTGTTGAGTTCAAGACCAGTCTGGTCTCCACATTAAGTTCCTAACCTGCCAGGGTTACATAGTGAGACTGCCTTAAAATTTTTATATAGAGTCATATTATCTTTTTTTTTTTTTTTTTTTTTTCAGTGCACAAAGAAAAACATTTGGATTCCTCTGCAACCCAGCAAATGCCCAGTGTGATGGCAGCACCTGTATGTCATCTCAGTGCTGGGGCGGCAGGGCAGGAGGGTCCTAGGGCTGACAAGCTCACTAGTCTTGCCAACTTGGTGAGCTTAAGGTCAGTGGGAGTCACAAAGTGGTGACTAATTGTGGCTGGCACCAGATGTGGACGCTGGCTCCACACACAGGGCACCTGCATTCCCACGTGTGTATGCACACATACATGAACACAGACATGTGCATGTGTTACACACAGAGATGACATGGTAGAGATATTTTTGACAGAGTTGAGATGGTACAGGAAATACTCAGGTAAACACAACATCTTTAATAAATGTTGTTCTAAAAACTGAGTACTTTTTTTCTGGGATAACTCTAAACGGATCTAAATATTTAAAAATTAAACTTCTCAGTGAGGCCAGAGTGTAGCTTAGTGCCAGAGCACAGGTTTAGCAAGCATGAGGATTGTTCAATCCCTACCATCCTTCTCAGTCAAAAATAGTAAATCATGTTTGTAGCTTCTTCTAGAAGAAGAAAATGGATAAATAAACATTTGAGGAAAAAGGATTCCTAAAAATCTAGGTTCTCAGCCAGGTAATTATGGCGCAGGCCTTTAATCCCAGCACTGGGATGGCAGAGGCAGGTTGATCTCTGAGTTTGAGGCTAGCCTGGTCTACAAAGTGAGTTCTAGGACAGCCAAGGCTTAACAGACCCTGTCTTAACAAACAAACAAACAAACAAACAAACAATTCAGGTTCTCCAGTGGACGGTGAGGCTCAGTTGGTGGATCGCATGCCTAGCAAGTATAAAAAAACATGTCTTCCATTGTCAGCAGTACACAAAGCCTGAAGTCCCAGTGTTTAGGAGGCTGAAGCAGGAGGACCAGAAGTTTAATGAGGTCATCCCCAGCTATATAGTGAGTTTGAGGCTAACTTTGGCTACATGAGACTCTTTGTCTAAATAAACAAAGTGAACAAGGAAGTCTCTTGGTACATAGTCCAGGATGTCCTCCAACACAGGTGACCTCCTGCCTCTCCTTCATGAGAACTAGGATCAAGGTGTTCCCCTGTGTTTTCTTTTCTGAGAAGACTTCATTGTGTAGCCCATGTGGCTTTAAATTTATGATGAATCTGCTGCAGGCTCCGGAGTGCTGGGATCACACACACTGTACCACTCACTATGCCTAGCTTAATTTAAGTTTCGTAGGTTTTTAATTTTTAGAAAAGTGAGGGAGCTCTGACTTCTGTACCCTGCACACTTAAGATGTTTAAAGTTGTTTATTTGTTTGTTTTTTTTTTGACTTTTCAAGACAGGGTTTCCCTGTGTAGCCCTGGCTATTCTAGAAACTGCTCTGTAGACCAGGCTGGCCTCAAACTCAAAGTTCTGGGATTAAAGGTGTGTGCCACCACTGCTTAGCTAAGTCCTTTTTTAAAAAGAGCTTTATCTTTATGTGTGTGTGTGGTGTGGTTATGTGTGAGGTTGTGGTTGCCTGTGGTAGTGGATGTGGTAATTGGATATGTGTGTGTGTTGTGTGTGTGGTTATGTGTGTGTGTTGTGTGCCATGGTTAAATGTTTGGGGAGGTGAGGGGGTGTTTATGTGTGTATGTGGTGGTGGTATGTAGGTGTGTGTGTGGTTATATATGTGTGTGTATTGTGTGTGTGGTTATGTGTGTATGTTTATGTGTGTGTATTGTGTGTGTGGTTATGTGTGTGTATGTGTGTTTATGTGTGTACAAGTTACCTCAGGCCCCAGTCCTTACCTTTTTTGTTGTTTGGAACAGGCTCTCTTGTTTGCTACTGGCAAATCGAGACTTACTGGGTCATAAACCTCTAAGGTGCCTCGACTCCAACTACCCTCTCTATAGTATACAAGGGTTACAAAGGCACTCTGCAATGTTAGCCATTAGGAAAATTCGGGGATCCAAACCCAGGTCCTTACATTTGAGCCACCAATAATCCTCTGCTCACTGAGCCATCTCTCTAACCTTAAGTCCATAGTAAAAACAAAACAACAAAAAACAACCTTCACCGACAATAGATTTTGTAATTAAGTGGCTTGTGTTTACTATAAATTAAAACTCAAGAGCCTGGCATGGTGGCACACACCTTTAATTCAAGCACTCAGGGGGCAAAGGGAGATGGATCTCTGTGAGTTCCAGGCCATCCCAGGAACTCAAAACAACAACAACATAGAAACAAACAATTAGTAGACACTTATGTCAGCAGTGAACATTAGGCTGGTCGGCTGTGGTCTATGCTGCTGCTGCAACCACAGTGATGTCTTTGTGTTGATTTGCTTTAATTTTTTCACAAAATATATATTACATCAGTTGTACCATTTAAACGATTTTTAAGGTACAACGTACGGCATTAAATACACCCACATTGTTTTGTGGCCCTCAACATTCTTCATCTGTACTTTCTCATCTCGAGCTGGAGTGGTGATCTTTTTTTTTTTAATTTGTTTTTTATTTTATGTGAATTAGTGTTTTGCCTGCATGTATGTCTGTGTGAGGGTGTCAGATACCCTGCAACTGGAGTTTCAGAGAGCTGTGAGCTGCCAAGTGGGTGCTGGGAATTGAATCCAGGTCCTCTGGAAGATCAGCCGGTGCTCTTAACCACCTCTCGGCCCATGAACTTACTTTTAGAAAGGGAGGATGGTGTGCTGTGTCTCCACTTTCTCCGGCCCCGAGGAACCACTGTCCTCGTTTTTAACTCAAGAAACTTGACTCTCCCAGCTATTTTATACCATTGAAATTAAGGATGTTTTAAAGGTTTGTCTGTTTGGCTTTATTGTGGTGGATTCTTGGAAAGTTCTGAAAACTTCTCCCTCTGTCCAGCAGGTGGCAGCCGTTTCTTTGTTGAAAACTATGAGTTCTATTGGATGTATTTGGTATCGATGTTTCTCAAACTAATTACAATTTTTCACCTGATCTCATTTTAAAGCAACCACATTGTTTTTGCATTGACTTTAAAGATGAACTCTAAATTTTTGAAACGATGCTGCAGTAGCTAGCATACCTGAAGGGAGTGCACATGGCCGGTGGGTGTGCGAATAGTCCCCTGTTTAGGAGAGTAAGGTAGTAGAATTACACTGGCAGTCAGCCTGGGCTCCATAATAAACCCTGTCTCAAAACAAACAAACAAACAAACAAACAAGCAGCTTGTATACTGGACATGATGGAGCAGGGTGGACTCCTTATAAGCAAGGAGTCATGTGAGAGTTAGATTTCTTGGTAATTGGCTGTGGAATTTTTCAGAATATTCCTTTGTGTGGTCTGGGGAGTCTCTAGACTCTATAATACCATGTCTAGAGGTAAAGTAATGTATATTGTTTCAGAGACAGGGTCTCACTTTGTAGCCTTAGCCAACCTGGAACTCACTATGTAGGCCAAGCTAGACTTGATTGCAGGGTGTGTGTGTGTGTGGGGGGGGGGTGACAGAGGTATGTGTGCATAGGAGATGGCATCAAATTCCTGTAGCTGGAGTTCTGGGTGTCTGGTGGATACCCTACTTGTCATGTAGGTGCCAGGATTCAAACTCTCACCCTCGGGATTGCTCAATAAACACTCTTTTTAAAAATCCTTTTATCCGGGTGCTGATGGCACATATCTTTAATCCCAACACCCAGAAGACAGAGGCTGTTGGATCTTTGTGAGGCCAGCCTGGTCTACAGAGTAGCCAGGGCTACACAGAGTAATCCTCTTCCAAAAAAACAAGACTAACAATAAAAGTTTTTATATTTATGTGTGTTTACATCTGTATGCACATGCACAGTGGATGTGTTGTGGTCTAAAAACTTGAGGGAATCCGTTCTTTCTTCCCCATGTGTTAATTCTGGGGACTGAACTTAGAACCTTAGCCTTGGCAGCAGCCTAGGGATCATTTTCTTTAAGTGGGATAAATACTTCCTCTGAACGTATTTAATTACCATTTACTTTCTGTATAATAATGCAAAGATAATTGCAGGCATGTGCCACCATGCCTGGCAAGTTACTAATGACTTTGTGAGCTTTTGTCGAGGTGTCTCTTTAAATGCTTTTGTTGACTTTGTTTTGTTTACAGAGACGGAAACTACACCTGAGCCCTGAGCACTGTAGTAACTTTTATGTGGAGCAGTATGGGAAAATGTACTTCCCAAACTTAACAGCTTATATGAGCTCTGGACCTCTTGTTGCTATGATACTAGCTAGGCACAACGCCATCTCTTACTGGAAAGAACTTCTGGGACCAGCTAATAGTTTATTAGCCAAGGAGACACACCCGGACAGGTAATTTCCATCCAAAGGGACTTGAGGGGCTGGTGAGATGGCTCAGCGGTTAAGAGCACTGACTGCCCTTCTGGAGGTCATGAGTTCAAGTTCCAGCAACCACATGGTGGCTCACAACCATCTGTAATGAGATCTGATGCCCTCTTTTTAGACCACAACACATCCACTGTGCATGTGCATACAGATGTAAACACACATAAGTAAATATAAAAACTTTTATTGTTAGTCTTGTTTTTTTGGAAGAGGATTACTCTGTGTAGCCCTGGCTACTCTGTAGACCAGGCTGGCCTCACAAAGATCCAACAGCCTCTGTCTTCTGGGTGTTGGGATTAAAGATATGTGCCATCAGCACCCGGATAAAAGGACTTTTAACAAGAGTGTTTATTGAGCAATCCCGAGGGTGAGAGTTTGAATCCTGGCACCTACATGACAAGTAGGGTATCCACCAGACACCCAGAACTCCAGCTACAGGAATTTGATGCCATCTCCTATGCACACATACCTGTCACTCCCCACCACACTCTTACAGGGTGTCTGAAGGCAGCTACAATATACTCATGTATAATAAATAAACAAGTAAACAAACAAACAAACAAACAAAAAGAAAGTGGCTTGAGGGATTAAAGCTTGCCTTAAAGAGTGAAAACAAAAGAAACAAAGAAGCCCGAGCCTGCCGTCCTCACAGCGGCTTCACATGCAGGCTTTCTGGCGTGTGGAAGTTTCCTAAGTGAACTTTTCTCTGGTACATGGCAGTGAATTTGACATTCTCAACATTCCATGTCTATGTGAGTATCCAATGCCACAGAAGGTGTTAGAGAACATCTCACTGATGGCTGGTTAACCTTGCATTAAATTGCCTCTAAAGCAGGAGTTACTGATTAATTGATTTGTTTGTCTGTTCGTTGGTTGGCTGGTTTGGTTTTTTAAGATGGGGTTTCGCTGTGTTGCCCTGTGCTGTCTTGGAGCTTGTTCTGTAGACCAGGCTGGCCTCAAACTCACAGAGATCCCCTTGCCTCGGCCTCCGAGTGTTGGGATTAAAAGTGTGCACTTCCACTACCCTGCTTTGTTTATTTGTTTTAATAATTTTTGGGACCAGGTCTTGCTCTGTAGCCAAAGCTGGCCTATAATTCATTGTAGCCCAGGCTAGCTTTGAATTTGTGACTATCCTCCTACTTCAGCTATCCCCACTAACCCCACACCCCTCAAAATCCGTGCTGGGTTACAGGCATGAGCCACAACACATGACTATGAAGTAGGATTTGTAAAATTACATTTTATTTATTGATTGCTTATGGGCATTTTGTGTCTTGCACATGTAAAGGTCAGAATACAACTTGTGGGATTTTTTTTCTCTCCTTTCCAGCATGTGGGTTCCAGGACAGGACTCAGGTCATTAGGCTTGGTGGCAAGTGCTTTTAGCAGCTGAGCCAACTCACTGATCCTGAAATACGATTTTTAATAGGAAAATAAGAATTTTTAAAATTTGTTTTCTGGACATGGTGGTACCTACCTTTACACTCAGGACTTCAGAAACAGAAGCAGGCAAATGTCTAAGAGTTCCGGGCCAGCCAAGGATACATAGTTGAGAACCTGTCTCAAAAAAAAAAAAAAAAATCCACTTTTTCAACATGATCACTAGTTTCTAGAAATGAAATAGTTATTGCAGTTTTGAATTTATATTTCCTTTTCACTTCTCAGAAAATACTTTCTTTACCTAGAGAAAGCCTGTTTCCACAGAGGATGCTACTGGCATACAGAAATGTATTTGATCCTATCTAAGTAGATCTAAAGCTTAAAATTAAATTAGTGATGACTTGTCTTAAAAAAAAAATAGAAAAAGGTTGGCAAGATGGCTCAGTGGGTAAAGTGATTGCTGCCAAGCAGGAGGATCTGGATTTGAACTCAGGACCCATGACCTGGAAGGGAAAAACCACTCCCAAGAGTAGTCCTCTGACCTCCACATGTGCCTCCTGCCTCTTCCAAGCTCTCTGATAAACAGGAAGGAAGTAGTGTGAGAACGGAAGGACAGCGGCTTTGATTTTCTCTAGTTTAAGGGCGATATACGGCACAGACGAACTGAGGAACGCGCTTCACGGCAGCAATGACTTCGCCGCCTCAGAGAGAGAGATCAGGTTCATGTTTCCCGAAGGTGAGTCTGCCGTGCCTGCTTTCTCCAGTGCACCTCCAATCTGTTCGCCTCTTAAAGTTTGCTTTGTATCTTGAAAACATGTCTCGGGCTGGAGAGATGGCTCAGTGGTTAAGAGCACTGACTGCACTTCCAGAGGTCCTGAGTTCAAATCCCAGCAACCACATGGTGGCTCACAACCATCTGTAATGAGATCTGATGCCCTCTTCTGGTGTGTCTGAAGACAGCTACAGTGTATTCATATATAATAAATAAATAAATCTTAAAAAAAAGAAAGAAAGAAAAAGAAAACAAACATGTCTGGGAAAGGAGATAGAATTTTCCTCCAAACATGCTTTGGTGTGTTCTCAGGTTGTGAGTCACTAAAACGTAAAGCTAGAAGGGCCTGGGGTGTAGCTCCATTTGTACAGAGTTTGCTGAGCTCCTGGGAGGTCCTGGGTTTGAATCACAGCACCAGATAAAGTGGGGCATGGGGCCTCAGGTCTGTAATCCTAATCTTAATCCTACAGAGTAAGGGCAGGAGGATCAGAAGTTCAAGTGTTAGCCCTACTGGAAGCTAGCCTAGGCATCTCCAGACCTTATCTCACAAACAAAACAAAACCAAAAACTTCTCAGCACCTGGCAGGCAGGCGGGTGGATCTCTGTGAGTCCAGGCCAGCCAGGGACACATAGAGAGATCTGTCTCAATGATACGAAAGCAAAAACAATGTTGTAGAGAAGGCTCAGCTCTTGCAAAGGACCAGAATTCAGTTCCCAGCACCCACATGGCAGTTCACCACAGTTCATAACTCCAATTCCCGGGAATCCAACACCCTCTCTGACCCCCTGTGGCACTCAGCACACACCTGGTGCACATATATATATATGCAAGCAAAACATTCATACATATAAAATAAGTATTTATTTAAAGCAGGAACAAACAGAAAACAAGTCTTGAAGCCAAAAGTGGAGAAGTGAACATAACCTGCCCGTGTCCCTACGGAAGCTCTGCAGTGAGTTTCTTTGTTTCTTTCTTTCCTTCTCCTGAACTAGATATATTCAGGCTTGCTCTTCTGCTGTTCTGCTGCAGTTCTTCCTAATTACCCATGAAGCTTCAGAAACGTGTTGGTACAGGGAGGATAAAAGAGCTAACAAGTTAACAAGTGTGATGCGCACAAGCTGTGCTCTGCCTCCGCCCTGACTAGTGCTCCTTTGCTCTGCATTCAGCAAACTTGTCTTTTTCCAAACAAAACAAGCCAAGAAAGTCTTGAGTCAATGTGAGAATGGTAATTCCACACCCTTTCTGATTTCCACCAGCCTGAGGTCATGAAGCCGGCGAGCCTTTAGAAAGTGGACATGCGCTGGCTTTACATACTGGGGAGTAGACCCAGGGCCCGTACCAGCAAGCTGTTTAGGCCTCCTTTATTTACCTGTTTTTGTTTGTTTGTTTGTTTTCGAGACAGAGTTTCTCTGTGTAGCCCTGGTTGTCCTGGAACTCACTCTGTAGACCAGGCTGGCCTCGAACTCAGAAATCTGCCTGCCTCTGCCTCCCAAGTGCTGGGACTAAAGGCGTGTGCCACCACCGGCCGGCTACGCGTTTATTTTTAAGATTATTTTAGCTTAGTTTATGTCTATGTGAATGTGTACCACATGTGAGCAGATGGCCTCAGAGCCCAGAAAGCACTGGATCCCTGGAGCTGGAGTTACAGACAGTTGTGAAGCACCTTATGTGGACACTGAGATCTGAATTTGGGTCCTCTGCACCTTATGTGGACACTGAGATCTGAATTTGGGTCCTCTGGAAGAAAAATTGACCTTAACCATTGAGAACCCTTCCCACCCACCCCCTTTTCTTTTTTTTTTTATTTTGAGACAGGCCTGTATGTCTTGGCTGGCCTTGAACTACTGCTCTTCATGCCTCCACCTTCTGAGCGCTGAGATTTCAGGCATGTTCTGCAGCCTGATTTTCCAGTCTTCTGTATTGAGGCAAGGTCTCAATATGCTAGTAAGTCCCACACCAGCCTGGACTACAGTGAGACCCTATCAGATAGCCAGTTATAATATCAATTATAATACTTTAATAATAAGTAGAACGATGTAAAACTCAAATTTAAAGCTCATGAGTGTCTTATGACAGTTAAAAAGTCTTGAAGGTATCTCTTCAATAGCTGTATAATGTTTGATCACATATATTGCTTGTTAGTGAGAACTTATTTGTATTTGCAGTGATTATCGAACCGATTCCAATCGGACAAGCTGCTAAGGACTATTTAAATTTGTATGTAGCACCAACCCTACTTCAAGGACTCACGGAGCTTTGCAAGCAAAAGCCAGCAGATCCTTACGTAAGATACCTTTTAATTCTTACTAGAGAATACTTACTGTCTATGGTTTTCATAACTGTAAATTTGCTTGTTTCTGAGACAGTGTCTCACTATGTAGTCCTGGGTGTCTTAGGGCTCACTGTGTAGACCAGGCTGGCCTAGGGCTCACAAAGATCTACCTGCCTCTGCCTCCTGAGGGCTGGGATTAAACACACCACCATACCTAGCTAATATTTATTCTTTCAGTCTGAAGACTTTCGGGTTCTGAGGCTTACTTGGGTTATGTGTTGACTCCATGGTAACCAAGCAGGATAATTTAGTGAGACATTGTCTCAAAATAAATGTTTAAAAAGGTAGCCCTGTCATTGTGGCCAGTGCCTTTACTCCTTGTACTTGGGAGGTAGAGTCAGGCAGATCTCAATTCAAGGTTTGTCTGGTCCACATAGTGAATTTCAGTCCAGTCAAGGCTATATAGTGAGACCCAGTACAAGCCACCCCCCCCCCAATGGTGTGTGCTGGGGGGCTGGGGAGGAGTTGGAGAAATAGGCAAAGCACTTACTGTGCAAACCTCTTGATCTAGGTTCCATCCTGGGATTCCACAGAATGTAAGTAGAGAATCAGCTCCCAAAAGTTGTCCTCTGACTCCTACAGGTGCACTCTGGCCTGTAAGCCTTAGAGCAACAACACACATGCCATTAGGGGGTGTGGTTTATAGCAGGGTACTTGCTGGACATAGCCAAAGCAGTGGGGCTTCACTTTGTGGTGGTTTGAATATGCTTGGCCCATGGGAAGTGGCACTTTTAGGTGGTGTGGCCTTATTGGAAGAGTTGTGGCCTTGTTAGAGAAAGTGTGTCACTGTGGAGTTGGGGCTTTGAGGTCTCATGGTGGTACAGCACCCAGTACTCAGGAGACAGAGGCATGCAGATCTCTGAGTTCACGGACAGTCTAGAGCCAGGACAGTCAAGCTTAGGAAGTGAAGGAAATCATTGAAAACAGAAAACTTGTAAAGATGTAATAGAATAAGGGGCCAGCCCCAGCAAGCAGCAGACCTCAGCAGCTTCAGACATGAGGCTCTGGCTTCAGACATGAGTCCAGAATAGAAGTGACTACTGGGACAATCGATGCTGGTTAGCTGGAACTAAGAAATTAGTGGTGATTAAGAAGAAACCAGCATCACTGAGGTGAAATCTTCTGGGAAGTGTTTTGTGAGAACACAGAAGCTGTGTTCCAGAGATAGCCAAGGTTGTACTTTGGGCTGCAGCTGAACTTGGTAATGTGTGAGGATTATCCTAGTGGTGCTGGTTTTGAAGGTATGAATAGCATCTGAGACTTGGCACTGTGAGAGGCCAGGAAAGGTGACATTGGTGAAGGTGCAGCCTCAGTGGCCGCTGATAGCCCAAAACTAAATGGATCAGGCAAAGAGCTTGAGGCTTGGCACCAGGAAAAGAGCCTCCACCTGACTGCCTGCAGATCACAATTCCCTTCTGCTGCCGGCAGATCAAGATGTAGAACTCTCCGCTCCTCCAGCACCATGTCTGCCTGCATGTTGCCATGCTTCCCGTCGTGATAATAGACTGAACCTCTGAACCTGTAAGCCAGCCCCACTTAAATGTTAGCCTTTATAAGAGTTGCCTTGGTCATGGTGTCTCTTCACAGCAACAAAACCCTAAGACAAGTTTCTAACACACACACACACACACAAAGTTGTGTCTGACTTATTTCACTAAGTGTTTTGTTAGCCAGCCAGTAGTGACAAGTGTGTGACACAATCCATCCCTTCTACCAGATGAATAGTGTCCTGTTATGTGCATATAGCACATTTTGTGTAGCCACAAGTATAACTGTTCCTGTCTTTGACTAGAGTGTGCAGTGTTGCAGTATCATTTGTGGACCACGATCGATCGTGTGAGTCCACGCGTTTTCAGTTGTGTGCCAATGTATAGGAATGCAGTTACTGGGCTTGGTCATTGTTATTGGAATTACTGCTCAGCTGTCAGGGACCACCCAATCTTTCCCACGTGTGGCTGCTCCATTTTACCTTCCCATCTGCAAGGTATTAGGGCTCTAGTCTCTTTGCACAGCCATCACTTGTTTGTCTCTGTTGTTTTACTTGCTCATTATCAGCTACCCTAGTAGATGTGACAATGGCTGATTTGCATATTCATGATGCTGAGAGCATCCTGCCAGGAGTTTGTGAGCCTTCTCTGGGAACTCTGTTCAGGTTCAAGTTCAACATGTATGTGGTTGTCTGTGTGTGTGCGTGTGTGTGCATATATATGCCTGTGAGTGAGACAGACAGAGACACAGACAGAAAGAGAGATGGGGGGGTGGGGAGAATGGCGGCGAGTCCTTTGTAAAGCAGGCTGGCTTTGAATCTAGGCCCCTCCACATCAGTCTCCCAAGTGCTGGGGTTACAGGCAGGAGGAACCATAATTGATCTCTGGATCAGATTTGTTCCTGTGTGGGGTCATTGCCATCTGTAACAAAGACAGCTTTGCTTCTTCCATCCTAATTTAGATCTGTATTTAGTAGTTTTTACAGGTCGTCATAATAGAGTTTCAAGGTGTTCTGTTTTGATTTTGATTATTATTTATTTATTTATTTATTTAGTATATAGTTTTAGGTTTGCTTATTTGGTTTTATATGGATGAGAGTTTTGCCTGCTTATATATCTGGGTACTGTATGCTTTCCTGGTGGTTGGAAAAGTCAGAAGAGGTTGTTGGGTTCCCTGGAACTGAAGTCAGGGATAGAGGATAGCTGTGAGGAGACATGTGGGTGCTGGAAACTGAACCCAGGTCCTACACAAAACCAACACGTGCTCTTACCAGCAGAGGCATCTCTCCAGACAGACTATATTTATCTAATTTTGAGGCAAGGTCTCATTCTGTAGCCCAAGCTATCTTAAACCCTTTATGGAAAAAAAAGATTAATTTTTTTTCTTTGCTTATTTACAGTGTACAGGGGCCTGTGCCTTTGGAGGCCAGATGGTATGAGACCCCTGGAGCTAGAGTTACAGGTGGCTGTAATCTGCCTCACGTGGGTGCTAGGAGCTGCACTCAGGTTTTCTGGAAGAGTTGGACACACGCCAAACTGTTGAACCATCTCCCCAGCCCCAGGCCTTTGGTCTTGGTTCTCCTACTGTAGCCTCCTGTGCCTTGCTTGGCCTGCCTTTTCTTCTTTTTAGACATGATCTTGCCGTGTAGTGCAGGTTGGCCTTGGACTTTGCTATATTAGCTCAGGCTGATGTCAAACTTGAGGTTATTCTCCTGCCTCTAGACCTTCTTCATCCCCTAGTGCTGGGATTTCAGAAGTGAGCCAACATACCTGGATTCCATTTCCTTATTCTTTTTATTAGCATATAGTAATTATACACAATAATGAGTTTATTATGACATTTTCATACATGTACATAATATGGGGTGATTTGTTTTGCTTACTTATTTGGAGTTTTTGTTTGTGGTTGGGGGACAGGCTTTCACTATGAAGCCTTGGCTGCCCTAGAACTTGATATATAGACCAGGCTGGTCTTGAATGTTGGTTTTTAGACAGAATCTCTCGGTCTAGCCCTGGCTGGCCTGTATTAGATGATGTGTTGATCACAATGTGTGCACACCCGCGTTTACTTGCTCTTGTCCCCCTGACCCACTCCTGCCGAGTCCTCTCCTCTTTCCAGTTAGCCCCTGTGCTACTGTCTACCGTGTCTCTCTGTTTCTTTTGACTGACTGAGTTTCATTAGAGTCGTTTACATGAACACTGGTGAGGGTTTGTTTAAATGACCAAGAGCACCTCACCGTGGCTGCATCACTAAGGACAATGTTACTCCCTTTCCATCAGCCATCGGCTTCTTGTGAATCCCAAGAAACGGTGAGCCCTGTGTGTCTTTCACCCTCCATTAAAGTTTCTTTCTTCCTTTCTTTTTTATTTTTATTTATTTTTTATTTTTTTTGGGGGGGTCTGGGAATTGAACTTGGGACCTCTGGAAGACTGACCAGTACTTTTTTTTTTTAATTTTTTTCTCAAATCATAATTAATTCACACAGGGGTATAAACACAGAAAGGCAGGACGTGGGGAAGGGAATGACACTGGAGTGTGGGTGCTCAGGGGGAATACAGATATCTTCAGAACCGGGTATTGGCTGGGTGAAGGTTCAGGGGACAATTCACTATGACTCTGGCCAGTACTTTTAACTGCCAAGCCCTGTCTTCAGGCCCCAAAATTTGTACAGCAGTTACATTTATTAATTTATTACTTATTGATTGTGTGTACCACAGCGCACGTATAGAAGCTGGAGAGGTCCTTCTCTCCTCCTACCGTGGGGTCCTCAGTATCTTACTAAGATCTTCAGGACTGATCGCAAGGGCCTTTACTCACTTATCACTAATATTAGTTGTTTGTTGTTTGTTGTTTGTCTGGTTGGTTGGTTTTTGGAGACAGGGTTTCTCTGTGCAGCCCTGGCTGTCCTGGAAAAACCTGGTCAACTAGGGAGGCCAGTGAGGCCGTGGGTCTTAGAGAAGAAGCTACTAACCTCATTTGATTAAAACAGTCTAATGCTTAACTGCCTTCTAAATACTTTTTGTAAAGATTTATTTATTTATTTTTTAATTTATATGTATACACTGTCACCATTTTCAGACACACCAGAAGAGGGCATCAGACCCCATTACAGATGGTTGTGAGCCACCATGTGGTTGCTGTGAATTGGACTCAGGACCTCTAGAAGAGCAGGCAGTGCTCTTGACCGCTGAGCCATCTCTCCAGCCCTGTTTGTTTGTTTTGTGAAAGAGGATTCTCTGCATCCTGAGCTGTCCTAGACTAACTGTGTAACCAAGCATGACTGTAAACTCAGACCTTCCTGCTTCTACCTCCCAAACCTGGGGTTACAGATATGTGCCAGTTTACCAGGTGCTGGGATGAAACCCAAGGCTTTGTATTTAATAGGCAAGCATTCTATCAACTAGACAATCCCCAGATCCTATCTTTTTTGTTCTTAACAATATTTAGTTACATTTATTTATTTTGTATATATGTGTATGCCTATTTGTCTGTCTCTCCAGAGGGCCTTTATTTTTATTCTTTATTTTTATTCAAAAAGCTTCTTTGGCTTTTTGTTGTTGTTGTTTTGTTTTTGTTTTTTGTTTTTTCAAGACAAGGTCCGACTGTGTAGCCCTTACTGTCCTGGAATCCACTGTAGAACAGGCTGGCCTCAAACTCAAAGATCTGCCTGCCATGCTGAGATCAAAGGTGTGTGCCACCACTGTCCAGCTGTTTCATATGTTTCTTATTAACACTGTCCAGGTTGGCCACAAAACCTAAAAGACTTGAGTGTGTGTGTGAGAGTGTGTGTGTGTGTGTGTGTGTGTGTGTGTGTGTGTGTGTACCTTGCTACAGTTCTAAGGACTTAGTGCTCCGCTGCTCCGGGCTCTCTTTGCTTTGTTCTCCTCCTGGTTTAGTTCATCATCACAGGGCTTGCTACGGGGTCTGCTTAGCTATAACATAACTCAAACACCAGGTCTGACCAAAACAAAAATGTACTGTAACCAAGCTGCTACTGATCCATCCGGTATGCCGAGCAGACTGAGGAGCTGAACTGCAGCACCTCCACCTCACTGACACCCGCACCCCACCCTGAGTGCACCTTTAACCTGGTGTTCAAGGCCAGCCTGGTCTACATAGTAAGTTCCAGACAGCCTTGGCTGTGAGACCCTGTCTCAAAAATTTTTTTTAAAATGATTTTTAATTTTTCAGTTGATAGGCTCATTATACATCGAAAGAAAATATTTAAATGTGTATTAACTTTAGGTTTTTTTTTTCCACAGATCTGGCTTGCTGATTGGCTAGTGAAAAATAATCCCAACAAGCCTAAACTTTGTCATTTCCCCGTGACAGAAGAGCCTTAGTCTACTCCTCAGAGCGAGTGCCTTACTGTAAGAAGCTGCGCACCAGTTCTTTACATTAAAAACACATCTGTGTCTCTGTGTGGGTATCTGTTTGCCCATGAGTGCAGGAACCTGAGGCACCGGAGCCCTGGGTCCTGTGGAGCTGGAGTTACAAGTAGTTGTAAGTCACCTGGCAGGAGTTTTGGGAGCCACACTTGGGTCTTCTGCAAGAGTGTATGCATTCTTTGCTACTAAGCCATATAATTTTTGTTTTTCAAGACAGGGTTTCTCTGTGTAGCCCTGGCTGTCCTGGAACTCACTCTGTAGACCAGGCTGCCTCAGACTCAGAGATCTGCCTGCCCCTGTCCCCTGAGTGCTGGGAGTAATGGTGTGTGCCACCACGGCTACTAGTGTAGGACTTTAAACCCAGTACCCAAAAGACCGAGGAGGGTAGATTTCTGTGAGCCTGAGGCCAGCCTGGTCTACACGGTGAGATGTTCTTGTCTTTCTTCGTAGTATTATTAGTTTTATTATGCAGCTCTGCTCGTGGCACCGAGGGCTTTGCACATGGCACCTAAAGCTCTGTCTACCCACAAGCTAGGTCCTAGTTCTTCCTTACTTCTTAGCCTGGGTCTAACTAAGTTGTCCAGAGCGGCCTTGAACTGATGGCCCTCCCACCACAGCCTAGATCACACGGTGGATCAGGTTGAATTGGAATTATCAAATATATTTTGAGAAGTTTGTACCCCAAAATACTGACTCACTCTTTTGCAGTCAGCTCCTTGTAGGACTACTTAGATTGAACTATGATTCAGACACAGCTCAGGTCTCAGCTGCTGTTTCTGTCCCTCAGTTGCTCTTGGATCTTTCTCCTGTTGATTCCCTCACCATGAGCAACAGCTGAGTTTGCTCTGTGCCTCTGATTGACACTATACAGTGTCTTTGAAAAATCTGAGATCAGGGACTTTCAGGCCTACAGAAAAGCTGGTTTCTGGCAGTTTCAGATACAGACTGTGGGACGACTTCTGACTTCACCAAAGACATGCCTACAGAAGACCTCTGCTCAGACAGGCTCCTTTCCTATGAACTGGCCCACTCCTCCTCCTGGAATGGAAGCCTTGAGTTCTGCCTATCCCTTTCTCATCCAAATCAAAGGCTGAAGACGCTGCCCTGCAGTGATTGATGCCTTTTGTTCCCAGACCAAATTGTTTTTTTATAGCCCACCCCCTGCCACTGCCATCTGCTCTAAGGGGAGTCTGGTCCCCAGGCCTCCTGAGCACCCCTGCTGTGTGATAGTGCTCACTGAGGAGGAGGAGGAAGAGGAGGAGGAGGAGAAAGAGGAAGAGGAGGAAGAGGAAGGAAGAGCAACTAGCAGACAGATGGCAGCTAATCCGGCCAACAACCTCAGCACTGGAATAACACAAACTGCCATTTCTCCCTGACTTGCCTTGTCAGCATTTCAGGGCTGAGGTGGAGAACTGCTTCTCAAGAGTCTGGCTTCTTCCTGGGCAGTGGTGGTGCACACCTTTAATCCCAGCACTTGGGAGGCAGAGGCAAGCGGATTTCTGAGTTCGAGGCCAGCCTGGTCTACAGAGTGAGTTCCAGGACAGCCCGAGCTATACAGAGAAACCCTGTCTCAAAAAAAAAAAAAAAAAAAAAAAAAGAGTCTGGCTTCCTTAAGGCTCAAAGTTCCCATCTCCTATCTGCTTTCTCAAACCAACTGTGCTCAGTGAGCCTGAGCATCGGCACCTCACCTGACCTCACAGGTGAGAGGAGGACTATAGGAGAGAAGGATCAATTGACTGATCGGGAACAGCTTCGTGACAGCAAACTGGGACGATGACGTGAAGAGAGAGAACTCCTCAAAAAGTATAAACGAGCATTGGTGGGTCGCCCTAAGCCAGTCTGAGTCCTCTGCTGACCACTCTCAAAGCTCACTTTTTCCAGTTTGTGGCAGCGTCATGTAGATTGCTTAATTAGTGTTCTCAACGTGGGGCTGACAAGATGGCTCAGGCACTTTGGTACTTGCAGCCAAACCTGATGACCTGCGCTTGATTCTTGGGACCTCACAGAGCCACACAGTGGAAGGAGAGAACCAACCAACTTCCTCAAGCTCTCTCTGTCTCTGTCTGTCTCCCTCTCCCTCTCCCTCTCCCTC